CCCATGACATAAACTTTTTAGCAGTATGTTGCAAAGGCAGAATTACAGTGGATGACTTCTGGAATGCCTAGCAGTACTCTTTTCAGAAGCATTTTCTGGCAGAAATTTAGCATTGCTACACCCGTGGATTTTTATACCTACTTTTTAACAGGTTTGAACAATGGCTACAATATTTAGCTGCTGCAAACTCACCCAGGGTCTTTTTATTGCCCCTACTATCCACCCCACCTCTTTCAAATTAAACAGTAACAGATGCCCAACCACAGTTACACCAATCCATGCTGCTACCTACAAGCACACCAGCTACTGCAGTTTTATCCCCTCTGTATCTTAAAATCCTTCCTCTTTGGAATGGAGGGGCTGCATTAAAGCTTTGGATTCTTTGGTGAATCTACACCACGTTCATCTCCTGCTGCTGTTCTGTGTCATTCCTGAGCCTGTTGCACAGTCAGTGACTTGTATGCCTAAGTTAAATGCTATTGAAAACCAGTAGAAAGATACTGTTAATAATTCAGATGCATATCCTTGCAAGGCTTAGTACATATGTTGGTTGCATTGTGAAGGTCTTTAAAGATGATGCTTTCTTCCATGGTAATGAATGTTAATGTTCTATCTGTGTGTGTAGGAACACACTATTCCTGGCATCTTGAGTCTTCTCTCTGCCAAGTTACGCTGGTTTTATGTTGTATATTGTAGTGATCAGAGGTAGTTACCATGATTCTGGATTAACTGAGTAAAGTGAAAAATGAATCTTTGCAATAAAGACTAAATTCTACTTGATATTTTTAATAGCCTCCATCACTATAGAGTGCCTCACAATTTGTGTTGCATTTAGCCTGACAATAAGACTTTACTATCATTGTGTCTGGTTATTGTTTGGGGAATGTAGGCATCAGGCTAACAAAGTAATTTGCCCAAGATAATGCCAGAATGTGAACTAGAATATGAATTTTTCCAGTCCAAAATGAGCATCTTGCAGCTTGAGGGGTTATCCTCATCACATAGAAGTATGCATGAGATTCTCAGTGATGGGATGGAAAACTACTGAAACCAGATTACAACCTGGCATCAACACACCCTCTGCAGAAAAAGCGGCCAAGTAAGGCCAGGCTGAATATTTTGGCCATGCTACTTATCTTTGGAGTTTCTCATGCCAATCCATATTACTTTATAAAAATGTATAGCTCTTTTTGAAGACTTTTCAGATTTAGTTATTTGAGGAACAAGCTGACATTTTCACGTTTCTGAAGAGTTTGCGTAAATGTTGGGGGTGTATGTATAAAAGATAAAAATCTTACTAATTAGTAAGAGTTCTTACTAAATAGTAAGATCTTTCAACACTTTACACCATCAAGACTGTCTTCAACTCAGGGAAGAGGAAAAGAAACATGAAACCTCTAAACATTTTTCCCCCCATCTTATAATTTATAATGGCTAAATGGATCATTTTTGAATGTGTGTAATAAAACTCACTCTTAGGCTGAAACATTGTATTTCAGGTTCAAGCTGAATCCAATTTTTACAGGCAACCTGTTAACCTCTGGGCCAAAAATAGGTAGGGTTGTAATGGAATGCTGATGAACCTTAATAAAGCAACTCTACCAAATGACAGAGTTTCATCTAGTATATGTGCATACACTATACTACTCCTATTATACGTACCGTGACACATGAATAAGACAAAATTACATCAAATAAAACAAATGTGTGTCACATTGGTGCAGAGATTTAAAAAAGGTGGCGAATGTGAGAAAACCTTTTACGGTAAAATAAGAAAAAGGTGGTGAATGTGAGAAAACTTTTTACGGTAAAATAAGAATACCATTTTGTAAGCCCTTCTTCTTGCAGTACAATTAATTACTGAGTTCATTAATTAATGAACATATTAGAGAAAGAACACCATTACTGACCGGTGGAGACCTGATATATTACTGAGTCAATAACTAACTATCGAACATGAAACAGGACCTTTCAGGAGAATTTTTTTCTCATAACCCACAAACACATATATTATTCTTGCACGGTCAGCACTTCTTTGGTACCTTTATATTTCATATTACTAATTCTTTTAATCACACATACATACAGCAGTGTTTTATAACCTAGCTAATGAGTAATTGGACAGGTGACATTGGGACTGAGGCCCTGAAGTGTCAGGCATAATACAGCAGGGTCTTTTTTTTCCCCATTACATTTTTGAGAGTAGAATGTAGTAAAAGAGCAGGTAGGATAGGAGGGAGAAAGGACTCTTGTACCAGAAATTTGTCATAGAAATACAGATTTTAAGTGGATCCATGAACTATAAATGGCTTTAAATTGCTGTCTGATGCAGATAAATAAGTAAGGAGATAAAACATTTAAAATAGCTCTGAACCTTTTTCATTGTCAGCAACCAAGGAGTTTAGCTTGGCCAAGCTAAAGTTGAATGTAATTTTCTTTAAGTCAGTATAGTTAAGGTAATTCTTTTTTGATATGGAAGGAGTGTGTGTGGTTGGGTGTTAATTGTTTGGAACAGGCAAGGGCCTTCACAATGCTTCAGTATCTCAGTGGCCATAGGTACCAAGCACCCTTCCCCCACCTTAGCCCCCAAGTAATCATTGATTGCATCTAAATCTATAGAGATATCTTTTCCTGGCAGCTCTGGTAGTTACAGTAGATTGTTAATCTGTGAATGATCAGAATAAGCCTCTCTGTCTCAGAAATCTCCATGCAAATTACAGCTAAATGCATGCCATAAATTTATTAGTAGCAGTTTGAAGTGCACAGGTCATCTTCTACACTGTGTAAAAACATATGTCTGTTACACATAAAAAAGAGTCTCATTCAATTTATATTCACTTTTCTGTGGATGTAGCTAGCCCCTGTCAAAGTAAACCTGTGTATTCTTTGAAATAATTTTTAAAAGGGAGATGAGATTTTAATAAGGTGTATTATTTAAGCAAATTTTACATCTCTGCATGGGACTGGAGTTTTAGCATCGCTGCTTTGAAATAGTTTCATCTTTTGCAAAACAGATAAATATATGTTTGACAAATAAGGAATGCTAAGAGGTAAAGGGTTATGCTTAGATATTGGAGAAAGTGATAGATGAAAAGGAAAGTTACAGGATGTTTTATGAACCAGTCCTCTTCTTGCACCTTGATCATTTTATCCTATTTTGGGAACACATCAAATCCATGACTCCTTTCTGTAGCAGTGTTGTATCTTATGTGAACCCCAAAAAGGAAACTTGAGAATAACCTTTGGATACCATGAGGGAAGGGGAAAGAGATCTGTAGTTTTCCTTTTTGTATGTTTTTGTTTCCTCATTTTACTCTTGGCTTTAATCAAGCTGATATGCTGCTATGGTAAGACATCGCTAGTAACATTTTCCTTCAGGCAGTTGATGCAAAACAAGGAAATTTGTGGGACACCTACAGAATCCTCATCCTACTACTTTTTTTTTTCCTAAAGGAAATAGAGCAATTCTTTTAAAGACTTTAGGAATGTATTCATCTCCATGGGACAACAGACTATGTTATTATTGAATAAGCATTTTGGATGTCATTGCTCAGGGATACTGATATATGTTTTTGAAAGAAAATTAATCTCTACTTAAAAGAATGAGCAATACTTTGAATATTAGAAGGCTGGTTTTTGCTGTACAGTTAATACCCTTCTAGCCCTCACAACAGATTTGTACAAGAAGGAAGAAAGACATTAATATGTTTTTTCTGTTTCTTTTTCTAGGCCATCCGCTGTACACTGGTAAATTGCACATGTGAATGTTTTCAGCCAGGGAAGATTAACCTGAGAACCTGTGATCAGTGTAAACATGGCTGGGTGGCACATGGTAAGAAATGTCGGTTCTGGGCTTGCCTTCTCTATTCTGTCCATCTTTCACAGTGTCTTTAAATACCAAGAGCTGGAGTGATACAGACAGTAGTGATATCTATTTGTCTGTACATGCATGTGCATGCATTCTGGGTTTGTGCATGTGTATGCATGCACATACTTTTTTTACAGCAATTTCTAGGATGGAAAAGTGAGGGTCTGTTATTCTGGCAATAGGTTCAAGTGCCACTGGAGTTCAACAGCTTGTGTACAGCTCAAAAGAATATTGTAGCCTCCAGGAAATAATGTAGTTCTAGCAGGACTTAGCAGAAAGTCAAGAAGTTTATAGTATGGTTGCACAGCAGAATTCGTGTTGTAAAGAAGCATCAGCCAATAAGTCACTGAGCCTAATGGAAATTCAAACATACCAATATCAAACTTTCAGAGTTTGGATGTCAGAATGAAATGAGTGTATCCTACATGGCTCAACAAAAGTGTGCATATATGATCTGTGAGTTGAACCTCTCTTCCCATGTTTAAGTAGCTAAAGAAAGAAAGGAGGGATTAGAATGCCCAGATCCTATATAAAGGCATCAAAATACACTTAGAGACCTTCCATTTTATTTATCCTTTACTGTTTTGTGTGTTTGGTGGTTTTTTTTTCTTGACAGTCTTGGTTAAGCTATGCATGAGAGATAAAGAGAGAGCTGTCTACGCAATTAGAAGGCAAATAAGGAGGATACATAAAATGGTTTAATGAAAAAAGACCAAACAAACCAGAAAGCCAAAAGGGGGAAAAAAGAGAAAGATTACGATGTTTGCAGAAGAAATTAGTGTTGGAGATTTCTTCTCATGGTCTAGGCTATTGGCACCTAAGCAAGCACAGTCTCCATTCCCCACTTCTGCCAGACATTCAGTGGGTTATATTCTCTACATTTTATTTTAATTTTATGAGTCCTGGGGTGGAAGCTTAGTAATTCCCTCCTAAGATGCACTTGATCTCTATTTATTTAGCTCATGTCTGTGTGTATTTGTGCCTGAGCATGCTGACATATGGCAAGTGTGAATACTCAACAAATTCAACAGCACAGACTGCCAGAGAAGTTTTTAAAACATTCACACACATGGAAAG